TTCAAATCAGCTCCCTCAAGCCGCGTCAACAAGTCGAAGAATTTCTGCACCCCTTCTTCAACCGCTTCGTCTTCTTCAATTCGTAGTGCCGCCATTTGCCGTTCCAACACCACCGCTACCGCCGCTGTTGCAGGAGCATGTACACCCTTGAGAGCAGCCCATGTCTTTGGTCCTTTCTCTGGTTCACGCTGGAATGGCTTGATGTGACGGATCTGACTGCTCCCCAACGCTTGCCCAAGTAAGAGATAGCCTTGTGCGCTCTTCCGCACCCACGGGCTCTTCTCCGGGTCGTTCTCGGGGCGCTTCTCCGTTCCTTCCATCACCTCCAGCAGGTCATAGTGGTCAAAGATGTTCTCCATCTTGAAGGACCATTCAGCAAAGTTGTCACCATTGAACTTGTCAAGCCCAAACACCCTAGGCTCATCCCTAGGTGGGCCAAGACTTGGTTGCATGGGCGCCATGGCTGAATCACGGGGTTGGCCTTGAGCTTGAGCTTCTCCACTGCCACCAGCACCTCTGCCACCCCTTTTCTCAGGTCCAGACATTGTCGAAACTGATACCACTTGTTATAGTCACAATAGGCTTGAATGTGCCTAAAACGAAAGATAGAGAGCACAGACGGATTTCTGCACAGCGGCTTCAAACGTTGATAGCGTTCTGCTCACAGCTGCAAATGACTTGATTCAAATTGGATCTGGAGCGTCTTCACGTCGTCTACAATTAGCAATTTAGATTGTACGATTTGATAAAGAATTGACGACACAGCGTCGGTTTGAACGAACGGTACTATGGCAGCCACTATAGTCTTAGAACACAAGATAGGAAGAGTTACGAGTTGGGAATGACTCCCAGCTCCTACAAACCCCAAGAGCCGAGGTACAGTGATGTGGAACAGTGCCACACTGTCCCCAACCACGAAGGGTCTCGAAACTACCCTTCACTAGGGCCTACACCAAGTGAAATGTTACACTACACAAAGTAATGTAACTATCTTCAATATCTTGAGGTGTACCCTTTTTGGCGAGCTTCGAAATCACTTGAGGCTTGACACCAAGGCTCGGGCTCTTCATCACAAACTCATCCTTGAGTTCTTGATGGGTCTGCTGCACACACCTGCGACACACCGAACGTTCGACACAGGACAAAATAGAAACCGCGCACGACAAAATAGAAACCGCGCGCGAGACACAAACGACCGCGTAACACGCGTCTAGCGATAACTCGCTATTGACTCGACACACACACTCGACATCATGACTCAACATTCACACACAATTATAAGCATGAAATATATATTATCCCATGCCCTCATACCATTCCATACACACACACATTCACGCACACGGACAACAAGCCGAGTGCAAACCGTAGGGTTGCACCAACAGGAAGCAGCAAGTTACACTTACAGGTTACTCGGACTCGTCGTGGGCCGAAGACGCAGAGTCGCTGAGGTCTACACAGGGTTACTGCTTCAGTCTTGGGACCAGAGCTATTTCGTGGAGGTCGACTCGGGCGTCGTCAGTCTCCAGTTCCAGCTGTGAGGCAGAGGTGTACGCTACGGCCATGGCCGCTCACGAGCTTCGCTGGCTGTCTTTCCTCCTCACAGACCTTGGTGAGCGGCCTCACTCTCCCCCAGTCTTGTTCGCCGACAACAGGCTTGCTGTCCTGTTGTGCGAGGAGCCCCGACTGGTTGGGAAGGCGAAGCACATCCAGCTTCGTTACTTCCTTCTGCGCGAGTTGCAGCAGCGTGGCCCGGCCCGCGTGGTACGTGTGGTCTCTAAGGCCAACACTGGAGATATCTTCACCAAGGCTTTGCCGCCTTGTGACCACCAGCGTTTCTGCACCCAGCTGGGCCTTGTGTCTACAGGCCATCACTTGCTTGCGTAGAGATGCTTTGCATTGTACTCTTTCATCTCTTTATATTTGCTATATATATATGCATGTGGACTGGCCTTGTGGCCCCTTGCTTCTGTAGAGATGCTTGTCTTGTACTCTTGCATCTTCTATATTTGCTATATCCTTGCATGTGGACTGGCCTTGTGGCCCCTTGCTTGTTCTCGGACTGTGTGGTGATCTTGAGATCCACCCCGAGATTTGTTGTGTTCTTGTGAACTGGTCTTGTGACCGTTGCTTGTTCTTGCTGACTGGTCCTGTCACTCTTGCTATGTGTTGCTTTCCACAGGACTACCGTCGCCTTGACTATGGGGGTGTGTCGAGCTATATTTGTTATAGCTTCTAGTTATTAGTCTAGGTGTACATTCTCCTTCCTAGGGTTAGGGTTAGGTTTCATATATACTTGCTGTATTTTCCCAATCTAGTCATTCGTTCTCATATTCTAACAGGATCAGCCAAAGCAACTGAGACTGGTGCAGGAAGTGGCGGTGATGTGGTCGCGGAAGAAGCACTGGGACACGCCGGAGTCAAGCGTGAAGGAGAGAGACATGTCAGCAGCTGTCACACCTCGGCTAGTAACTACACGAGCACATACACTAGAAACACGAGCACATACACTAGAAACAGGCAAAGATCCTAAGCTAGGTACACGCAGGCGAGCAGATCCTACTATACTGGAGACAACAGGATACATAAAGAGTAAATATCATCCACGGACAGATCAAACACACGGCAAGTACGGCAAAGCAGAACAGGCCAGGAAAAGGGAACCGAGTCAGGCCCAAAACGCTCACGTTAGAGGTTGTCGATTTGACTGAAGCAGCGCAACCCAGAGTGGTCAAGACGCCTGCAGATAGTGCCAGCACCAGGGCCAGTCAGGATTCGGTACTTGCAGGGCCCGACGTCGCGACCACTGGGACGAGCCCCCTAGCTGTCTAAGACGTTGCTGCGGCCAACGCTCACTGGACCACCAGGCCCCCGCTGCTGGGACCGTTGCTACTGCTGCTATTGCGGTTTCCCCTACTGCTGCATAACTCTAGCGGACGCCATGGCACAAGCAAGCTGGGCGAAGGAGCGGTAGGAGCTAGAATCGGCCAGAGCGAGGAACGGCTGGAGGTAGGAACAGCTAGAGCTAGAAACGACTGGAGCTAGTAACAGTTGGCGCTAGGAACGGCCGGAGCAAGGACGGCTGGAGCTAGAGACGGACGGGGCTAGGAACGGCTGTGGCTAGGAGTGGCTGGAGCTAGACACGGCGGGAGCGAGGAACAGCTGGAGCGAGACACGGCCGGAGCTAGAAATGACTAGGAACGCCAGGCTAGGAACGGTTGGCGCTAGGAGCGGCTGGAGCTAGAAACAGCCGGAGCTAGGAACTGCTGGAGGGAGAAACGCCACTCTGGAAGCTAGCTGGACCAACAAGGTGTGGCTGGCTAGGAACCGCACACTAGGAACGTCGCTCGAAACCCTAAACTGCGCCAGGAGAGGAAGGGTGGCTTCCAGCCGTTGCTGGGAGTGTTGGTGGCGGAGAGGAAGGTGTGGGACGGTAGGCCAAGGTGGAAGGGTGGTATACCCTAAACCCTAGATTGGGTGGTTAGCGGGACTCAGGCACTCGGGCGCATGCGTGGTGGCGGCCTAGAGCTGAAGTTGGTGCTCATGGCACCGGCTAGCTGCTGCTGATGCTCACTGGCTGCGGGTTGGAGTGCTCCCGGTGCTCTGCTGGCGCGTTGCTAGATCTACCGGAATGCTGCTGGCGCGCCTCTAGCTGCTGGCGTCTAGATCAGCGGGGCAGCGGGGCTATGGGCAGGCAGGGCGGCTGGCGCCTTGTGACCATGAGCGGTTCTGTACTCAGCTTGGACTAGTCTCCATTGGTCCTCACTTGCTAGTTTCGTGATCATTGTTGCTTGCTTTTGCTTGTTGTATCATTTATATATATGTGCGAACTCTTGAACTGGCCTTGTGGCATTTATTTGTCTCAGAGGTTGGACTACTAGTGCCGCCCTGAGTTTGCATGTTGTTGTTGCGCAGAGAATGCCCCTCTCCTATTCTAGGGGGTGTGAAAAAACTATATTTGTCATATGTTTGGTAGGCTAGGTTGCATATGCTGGGGCATACTATAGAGGGTACATGTTTGGTTGTTATAACCCTGTATGCCATTGTAGTAGCCACAGTTATACTTCTGACACCGACGTCGCGGCCAACGCGACGTGCCGCCCCCCAGCTATTAGGGCCGCTACTGCGGGCGACGCTCTTCGGTACACCAGGACCCAAAAGCTGGAACGATGCTGCTGTTGTACTTGCTGCTTCACGTGCTACTACTGTTGCGGCTGCTGCTGCTGCTGCTGCTGCTGCTGCTACTGTGGTGCTACTGCCACACCTCCAGGACCAGTACCTCCTCCGGCCGGACCCACAGTCCTGGGACCTCCTCCTGACGCACCACCTCCACCTCCACCACCCTTCCCCCCCTTCTTACCTCCCTTGTCCCGTTTTTGCGAACCAGTGGCAGAAACAGTTGCAGTCTCCTCAGCAGTGGACGACCCAGCATTAGCATTGAAAATAGTCTCAATGAGGTCGATAGTAAGCTCAATGGGGTGCTTCCTGAGAAGTGCGTCGCGTGCAGACGAGAGGCGGTCAGGGAGACGAGCGACGATGAAACAGAGGGTGACAAACATAGGCGGGGGTGACTAGCAAGCTGGGTATGGAACAGGCAGCATGGTATCTAGCGTCGAGGGAGCGCAGGTGAGTGACTAGGTCAACAGTAAGGTCCGGGAATAAAAACGGCATGAGGTGTCCTAGGGTGGCAAAGGACACACGTGGCCGTCGGGAGGAGCAGGCAAATCACCCGAAATAGCAAACCCAAACCTAGGCTAACAAATGTAACACATACAACTTAGACAATATTCTATCTGGGAAAGTACGGTACATCTTTAGCTTTCAGAATTGATTGGGTCACAAAAACCAGGAACAGGTCTGTTGCACTGACGCGGTGAGGTGACGTAGGGCCTGGTTCTAACCTTCCGAAAGAAACATCAGCTCATCACAGTTACCAGCACATGCACAACAACCACCAAGCCTGCAGCATCTTGCTCCAACTTCACCTGCCCCTGCCGATTTCACACATCCACCCCTGCGTCTCTGAGTCGGTGCACCTCCTCGCGTGTGGCTTGCACGGTGTGCCAGTTGAGCACGGGGGAGAGAACCCCCATGGCCACCCCGGCATGCCCCTGCTCCACCAGCCATGCGAGCAGCGGCATGAGGGAGCGCTCGTTGAGGGCGCCCCCCAGGGTGAGCAGGAACCAGAGGGCACTGTGGAAGGGCGTCATCTGCACCATGAGGCGCACGTTCAGCGTGCGGTGCTTGAGGAAGAAACGCACCCCGTTCTCACCCCGCTGCCGCTCCTGCCCCCACACGCCACATGCAAGTGCGTTATGGAGAGTGGGGGCACGTGTAGGGTAAGCAAAGTACAAAGAGTTGAAATAAGGTGGGGAGGCAGTAGAAACGAGGGACAGGCACGGTGTAGAAAGCAAGTGAATTGTGCAGATTGAAGAGATGTGCACTGACAACAGTTCCAGAAGCACAGCCAAACTCAGAAGCCAGTGGCATAGTTTCCGGAGGTGAACAGCGATTTGGATTGTGTTGACCGAGGAATGCTGGTGGATGTAGCTTATACGTGGAACAGCATGTAGTATGCATGAGGTCAGCACGAGGTCAGCACGAGGTCAGCACGAGGTCAGCACGAGGTCAGCATGCTGTCAGCATGATGTCAGCTTGAGGTGGGGTCACCTGGCGGATGAGAGCGGGCAGGTGAGAGGGATGGAAGGGTGGGTGCCAGTGGAAGCCCACGGCCTCAGGGCACTGCCATATGCGCGCCCCACACTGCCGCAGTCGCTCTGCCACACACACACAGGGGACACAGTTAGGCGAGGAGGTAAGGCAGCTAGCAGCACACAGTCCAATAGTTACCCCGTATTGCTGCCCTGTACATGCCCAACCTATCCCCCCCTAGTGCCACCGCCCACCCCAGTCCTCCCAGGTTGGGAGTGTGCCCACCACGGCACCTCCAAGCTCACCTCCAAGCTCCAAGTCCTCCCATCCATAGCTGCTGAAGTCCGCATCAAACGGCCCCATCTGCTGCCACTGCTGCTCCACCCCCTTCTCCTTTTCTCCACACTCCTCATCATCCCCTCTTCCCCCGCCTCCTCCCTGTGCTTGGCTAACCGCGACCGCTCCCCCAGCCTGCCCTTCCACTGCCGTCAGCACCTCAGGCCAGGTGGAGGAGGAGGAGGAGGAGCGGGGGGTGGCAGCGGTGGTGGCAGCAGGCGGGGTGAGGCGGAGAGTGGCGGCGGCCAGCATGCGGCGTGAGATGGCCACGTTGCCCGTGGCGAAGAACGCTGCTGAGTAGTCCTGTCAGCACCCACGCCAGGAGGCATGGCGAGGGGCGCGGAGGAGGGCGAGCACGCAGCTAAGCACGTGCACACACTCATGCCATGGGCAAACAAACGTGAATGTTGCACACAGGCAGGAACAACGAGAACCATGATCATGTTGCACACAGGCAGGAACAACGAGAACCATGATCATGTTGCACACAGGCAGGAACAACGAGAACCATGATCATGTTGCACACAGGCAGGAACAACGAGAACCATGATCATGTTGCACACAGGCAGGAACAACGAGAACCATGATCATGTTGCACACAGGCAGGAACAACGAGAACCATGATCATGTTGCACACAGGCAGGAACAACGAGAACCATGATCATGTTGCACACAGGCAGGAACAACGAGAACCATGATCATGTTGCACACAGGCAGGAACAACGAGAACCATGATCATGTTGCACACAGGCAGGAACAACGAGAACCATGATCATGTTGCACACAGGCAGGAACAACGAGAACCATGATCATGTTGCACACAGAGCAGGAACAACGAGAACCATGATCATGTTGCAGAGAGAGCAGCAGGGCGCGTGGCAGCACGCACAGTGAGCTTGAAGGGTTCGGCCATGGGGTGGTCAAAGTTGCTGGTGTTCACCACCCGCCCGTACGAGAACGTGCGCTCGTCCCCGAACCTGCTCCTTGCCTCCGCGAGAGCACGCGCATGCGCTGCTAGGAAGCCTGCGATGGTGGGTTGAGAGGACGCAGGCACGCAGTAGCAAAAAGAGACGGTAGAAACAGTCTCAGAAGGAATTTAAGTCGTAACTCGAAACTCAGGACGTGCAAGTAGGCAAGACAGGTCTGAGTGTCTGCTTGTGTGTCCCTCACCCTCCCCCTCCCTCTCCTTCCTTCCCTGTGTCCTCACCCCCTCTTTCCCCCTCCCATTCTCCAACTACATTTCCCACCTTCCCTCTCACATCTCCCTCTCCCCGTTCCCCCCCTCCACCTCCCGCAACCGCCCTTCCTCTTGCAGCGTTCCTCTCTCCTGTCAGTCTCCCACCCCCTCTCCCCCCTCCCCCTCCCCCACTCCCCTCCCTCCCCCACTCCCCTCCCTCCCCCACTCCCCTCCCTACCCCACTCTCCTCTCTCCCCCACTCTTCCCCCTCCCCCAATCTCCTCCCCCCTCCCACTCTCCTATCTCCCCCCTACTCCGTCTACCCTCTTTTCTTTTTTGTGTCCCCCTTTCCGACTCATCAACCACCCTCTCCCTCTCCCCTCCCTCCGCTCCCCCTCCCAACCAGCTCTCCCTCCCTCATCCCCTCCCGCCCTTCCTCTTCCACCTCCCCCCCCTATGCGCGCGGCAGTGAGTCAGAAGGCATGCGAGCAGCAGGGCGGGCAGCGCACCGGGGCACACGACCATGTCGGAGTCGATGAACACGATCGTGCTGCCACCCGCCACGCGCACGCCGTAGTTCCGAGCCGCAGTCGCGCCCGCATGCTGTTGCTGCAGCAGCCGCACATGAGGAAACGCCACCGCCGCCTCCCTCGTTTCGCCATCAACCGCTTCTCCCAACCCCTCCTCCCCCGCGCCGTGCGCGCTCCCCTGGCAGGACGCCACGCCCATGGCGGCGAGGGCTGCCACAGTGCCATCGGAGGACCCGTCGTCCACCACCACCACCTCGTACCGCCGCACGCCCGCCTGCCGCTCGCCGCGCTGCTGCTCCAGCGCGCGCAGGCACTTGGTGAGGATGGGCAGGCGGTTGTACGTGGGGATCACCACGCTCCACACGCCCTCCCACCCGCGCGCCCACGCCACCTCCCGCTCCGCCGCCGCCTCCTCCGCTCCCCCTGCGCTCGCCGCGTGCAACCCGCCGCTCGCCGCTACACGGGCCGAGCGGGGTCGCGAGGGGACCGATTGGGACGCCGCGCCGCGGGAGTCGGCTGGCGCCGCCGAGCCGGCGATGATGGGGCGCGCATGGCGCGGCGTGCGGCCCGCACCACCAAGGTCCTGGCAGATGCATCCGTTCCGGAGGGGACGAGCTCTCGCGCGTCCGAGCCGGGCGCTGCTGCCGCGGGTCGCCGCCCCCCGCACAGGCACTTCCGCGCTGGCGGCAGCATCGCAGGCGGACACGCGCCTGCCCGTGCTGCAGCTCGCCGCTCCAGCGGCGCGTTCGGCCAGCGGGAGAGTTTTGGCGGAGATCATGATACTGGCGCGAGGGGAGGAGACGAACAGAGAAGGTTGGGAGGGGCAGATGGGAGGACCCTTTTGAAACGTGAGACTGTAGAAAAACTCAAATCGTTCTACTATATCGTGCGCACCCGTCGGGCATCCAGGATCGGTGAGACTCTTATTCCACCTGAAACTACCGCGAGTCGCGTCCAAATATGTTGACCAGCTGATGTGATGGCAAAGAGCCTACTCGTTACTACCTATTCAGGTACCGTACAAGCCACCCTAGGGACTTCAAATCCAATTTATATATAAACTAGGGGGTGTGTCCTAACATTGGCAACAAAATCTTGTCTACGCGGGTGCCTTCATATGACATGTTTGGGCCTAAGGTTCACAGAAATAAATGCATGTTGGCTGTTTTCATAGCTTGTTTTACATCACTGTTTAAGTCGTCAGGAACCTTCTCTCTGAATAGCTTAGCGAAATGGGGAATGACTAGCACAATGAGAGATAAATATGGGAAACCCTAAATGGGTTGCACCCTCTAGATAGTACCTCACTCTAGCCCATAAACCAACAAATGTATGACTTGACACACCCATAGGCTATGTGAGGGGCATCGCACGTGCAAGAGAAACAATAACTCAGGGTGGATCAACTAGTCCAACCACTGAGACAAGTGGTCACAAGACCGGTCAAGAAAAAGCAACAAGGTAAGACAAGCAACTCAGGGTGGTACGACTGGCTAGCCTCTAAGACAAACGGCGACAAGGTCGGTTCAAGGGTTCATAAATATATATAAACAACAAAACAATTGGAGCAAGAAGCAAGAGGCAAGTCAACTACAAACGAGAACATGTCTGAACAAGGCCAAGTTGCGAACAGAACATGTGGTGGTCACCAGGCGGGAGGGCCTTGGTGAAGATGTCCGCAATGTTGGCCCCTGAGGCCACAAAGACAAGCAGGCCTGATCGCGTCACTGCAGCTTTCGAAGTTGAAGTATCGCAAGTCGATGAGCTTCACTCTACTTTCTTGTCGAGGCTCTCGATACAGGAGGATCATGGCCTTGTCGTCAACGAACAAGGTCGGTGCAGAGCTAGCCGCTCACCAATATTAGTGAAGAAGAAGGTCAGCCAGCGGAGCTCCTGAACAGCCATGGCACCGGTGCAGTCTCGGCCTCAGCACTGGACGAAGCCACAGACAACGATTAAGTAGACCTCCACGACACAACTCCAAAACCCAAGCTGAAACAGTAGCACTGAGACGACCTGCTGATCTCCTCGTTGTCCGCCCATTTCGAGTCGCTGTGCCTTGTAAGTCGCACTGGCTCTCTCCCTCCAAGCATAAGCCCCATGCCCGATGTCGTCACTAGGTACTTCGCAACCATCTTAGCAGTCGTTCAGTGAACGAGACGGTGTCTCCCAGTCGCAACAAAGCGAGCAAGGACGCTGAGACGATAGGCGAGGTCCGGTCAAGTACACGTCATCAGGTACATGAGGCAGCCACAAAATCTGCGCAGTGCCGGCTCGTCGAGAACAAGAGCAGTGAGCCTATGGTCAACAGAAAGAGGAGTGGGCTGCATGGAGGAGAAATGTAGCTCGAACCGCTGAAGAACCTGCTCATCATGTGTGAATGAGTCAGAGTGATGGCGTCACTACAATAGCAAATACCTCCTTGAAGTCCACCTTCTGCTGGTACCCCTTGGCCACAATCCTAGACTTTTAGCGTTCGATTTTGCCGTCGGCACCGGTCTTGATCTTGAGGAGCCACTTAGACGTAATCGCCTTACGCTCCTCCGGTAGCTCCACGCCATCTCACTCTCCATTGCCTTCGTCCACTCCTCAGCATCACTACTCTCCAAGGCCTCCTTGAAAGTTGCTGGTTCCCCCGGCACCTCCACCGGGGAGAAGAACGCGAAGGAACTCTCCTCGTATTCACTTTCCTCGTCATCTCCAATCATGAGCGGCGCTCCGGTCAAGGCTGACATGGCTGGCCTCCCCGGCGCATCATACCTCAGCCTATTAGGAGCTTGCACTTTCCCTTTGCCAATTCCTTCCTCCTCAGCTGCAGGGACTTGGATGCTTTTGATTTCGTTGCTTCGGGGAGACTCGAATCTGAGGAGCACTCGTTGTGCGAGGTGGAAGTGCGGATGCACGCTCACTCACTTGCTGCACCTCCTTTGTGAGGATCGAGTCTCGAGTTAAAAAATTATAATATGAATTATGGGTACAACTACGTGGCTATATATAGGCACGATACAAGGCAGGTAACCAGGATGTTACGGGAATGTTCTGTGCATCGGGAACCGTCGGGAACGAAACCCTCCCAAATTCAATAGAGTAAAATCGGTGATAATCACGCACATGCGAGACCACTCGAGATAACTCTAGAAAACAGGAATTAGGTGCGCACAACCTATATTGATGGCGAAACAAAACTAACTATAGTAAAAGCAACGAACAAGGAAATCAGCGTAGAAATGCAAATAGGAAATAGGAATATGCAAGTTTAGGTAAGAACGGACATCGTACTCTCACATCCTCCCCCTCTTCCTCTGCATTCTTGGCCTCCTCTCCCTCATTCACACGAGGAGATTGCCTTGTGATGGTGCTGTTGCTGCTCAGCTCCAAGGGCAGCTCCATATGCTCCAAGCCGGATCCCTTCACCTCACCAAGCTGCACGCATATCTTCGCCTCATTTTCCACCTTCCAATCATTGTACATGAGGTTCTCCATGAATTTGCATTCCCTACTCACCAGTACCTTCCTGGTAAATGGGTCCTATAAAAGTCATCCCTTGCTGTTTTGAGCATGCCCAAGTGCACAGCCTATATCGCCTTGGCACCAAGCTTGTTATGCCGAAGATGCTTAGGCACAAGCGCCATGCACATGCACCCAAACACCCGGAGCATGTCCACCTTCGGTTTCCTGCCGATCCACTCCTCATAGGGCACCCATTTGTTCGCTCCCACATGAGTCAAGGGTCTGTTCTTGGCCACACAAGCATGCCGCACCACATCTGGCCAGAAATGGTTTGGAAGCCCGGCTTCAATGAGCAACCCGCGTGCCGTCTCCGTGAGTGTCGGGTTTGCACGCTCGGCGATGCTGTTCATAGCAGGAGAGTATGGCATGGTTAGGGAGAGCCTTTTGCCATTCTTCTTTAGCCAACTAGAGAACTCTTTGCTCGGGAACTCTCCCCCTCGATTGGTGCAAATAGAGTTCACAATCCGGTCTTGTTGCCGCTCCACCATCGGCAACCAATCCGCCTTCACCATCTCAGCCACGTCACTCTACTTGGACAGCACATACACCCATGTCATTCGGGTGTAGACATACACAATGGTGAGGAAGTACTATGCTCCAGCATTTCCAAGCTTCGAGGGGCCCACCACATCCATCACCACGATCAAGCGGTGCCTTATCCGTTGCCTCCGACCTAGAGAATAGGAAACGGGTGAACTTGGCTTGCATGCATGTCGGGCAGCCAAGTACCTCGGTAAGTTCCCCCTTCACACGTATCCCAGCAACCATGTCTTGCTTTACTAGCTGCTGTAATATGGGCAATGCCACATGCCCCATTCTCCGATGCAAAGTCAGCCAATCACACTCCCCCGTAGCCGAAGTCGGATTGGAGAATGCCGCACTTGCAATAGTGCCCCACATGCTCTCTCCGTACTTCTCCTCCGCTGCTGCCTTGGGGTTCTCCTCACCCTTTTGATATCGTTTGGCTGCTGCATCACTCTCTTTGTGATCAATCGGCTTGCTGGTCCCTCCAAGATCGCTCTTCTTAAGCTCATTTTCATTGGCGCCAACTTTCTCGTTGTCACCACTACCAACCGCTTCACCATTGGTGCTGATGCTTGCTGCCACTTGCCCCTCCGTAGGCATTGGGACCATAGGGATTTGCCACATCTCGCTGTAGACATCCGTGTCCTGGTGAATGTTTCAAAGAATCCGCTCCCCAAGCCTCGCAATGTAGGACTTGGCTCCCTTCGAGCTCGTGTCCATGCCGACCTTTTGCGAACCGACGCACGGAAATCAGGTTGGCAGCAAATTTGGGCACCCAAAGCACGTTCTTGAGGCCGACCATCTTCCTATCAGCACCCCTAAACATGGCCTTGCGCATGCCATTGACCTCTGCTCGCTGCCCCAAAGCTGAAGTGGCGTGCTTTATCGGTGACGGTTCACCTTCGGCGAGCAAGTCCGCACAAGGTGTCATGCTATAGGTAGCGCCGCTATCGATCACCCAATTGTCCAGAGAGTGTAGAGTGACTTGTCCCACAGCAGCTGGATCCTCAAAGCCTTCATCTCTCTCTGGTGCAGCCAGTGCTTGCGTCGAGACAAAGAAGAATTGACCCGAGAATCGATCTTCCCTCGTGTCGTTCTTGTGATCACCGCCTTTCATGTTTGCAGCACCACCTCCGCGACCGCCGCGGCCTCCACGGCCTCTTCCCCTCCCTCCCTTGCTTTTCTGCCCTCTTAGCCTTGAGCAGGGGCCCAACGATCAGGGAGCTTGAAGCAATCGCGCCACACGTGTCCGTTCTTGTGGCAATAGTGGCACTCGTCGTCGCATCGGCCGCGAGCGCGCCCATAGTTGTTGTTTTCGCTGTCGTATCCGCCATTTCCGCGGCCTCCATTGTAGTTGCTGCTACCAAATCTGCCTCCTCCTAGTCCTCTGCCCCTTCCACGGCCGTATCCCAGCGCCATTGGGACTTCCACGGCCGTATCCCAGCGCCATCGGGACCCGCCGTCCTTTTGAAGGATCGCTCGCTTCACGTGTTCAAGCAAGAGGCGGGGCAAGTCGCGATTCAGGTTGATGATGTGTGAGGACAATGACTCTGGGAGTAAGGACAGCAGCTTGGTCTTCTCCTTGTAGTTTAGATCAGCTCCTTCAAGCCGCGTCAACAAGTCGAAGAATTGTTGCACCACTTCTTCAACTGGTTAATCTTCTTCAATTCATAGTACCGCCATTTGCCGCTCCAACACCACCGCTACCGCCGCTGCTGCAGGAGCATTTACACCCTTGAGAGC